ACAATTAAAGATCTAACAGGAAAAAATCGCCAGGAAACTCATCTACAGACCCTCAGAAAATCAGATGAAGATGCAAATCCCAAGCATATTACCCAGAAAAGCGAAAAAAAAGGAGAAAAAATATATCGCACACAACAATAAATCGAAAGGCAGGGAGAACTTACACATGATGACTGATGAAGAAGTCCTGGAAGATCCGAGGAGAACATCGAAAAATGAAGTGAACGCCGGAGACTTGTGATGCTTTTATTGCCGGAGAGAAGAGAGGAAGTTCGAGAAATCTGAGTGCGGAAAGTGTGAGAAGAAAAAGGGGAGGGGAATTTATAAGGGAAGTAATGAAACCCTAGCCCTTAGATTAAGGGCAGATCCAACAGACGAAACGATGCACGGAATAAGAAGCGGTGGAGAGAGATTGTCAGCTTCTAAACCTTTTTTAATTTTGAAATCCGGAAAGAAATTCGAGCTTATCCGATCAATGTGAGAATTTCCCTAAGTCAGGCGAAAGAGTTTCTCGCGAGCCGAGAGATAAATATAGACGATTGGGAATAAGGAGATCGACTGAGAAAAAATCCTATTAAGGGTTCAATCGACAAATTTACTCTTAAGCTCAGAATCGCTTCGAGTAATTTTTGGGGGGAATAAATGATATAGCCATACTGTCGTATAACGGTTCAGATATTATCGAGTCGATTTACCCGGAGTCAATTTCTTTTACGGACTCATAATATCTCCGGTCTATAAGGGCCCAGGCATGTCTCTCAGTCGACTTCCATGTGTCGACTAGCAGAAGTCGACTCCCACCAGAAAGGCGGACAAACGCATCAAGGCCTACTGATGATCGAAGATAATCCAGTCGACTCGAGTTGATATCCCGAGTCAACTGAAGACTTCTCGAGGCTCATAAGATCTCCGACGATTTTGGTACACTTCAACATGTCATAGGGAAGCTGCCAGATAAGAAGGAAGCTATTAAGGATAAGAAGGAATCTAGATGCTGACTATGAGATGGACAGAATGCGAACCGACCAGGGTATTTTGGACATTTCCAGTAAGTCGGCCAGGGCATTTTCGGAACTTCGGGTAAATGTTTTGCTTCTATATAAAGGAGCTGAGGTAACCCCAAAACCCTAACTCCCATTCATTCTAGACTCTCCTCCATTACTGTTGCTGCTCTCTGAGAGCAGCTCTCTTCATCTCTTTCACATACTGACTTGAGCGTCGGAGGCTCTACGACGGAAACCCCTCCGGTGTTGAGTTCTTGCAGGTGTTCTCACAGTTCAACAACGATTCGAAGGTGATCGAGGCAGATCTGAGATCATTTCCACCGATTCATTTCAGATCTGAGCTTGTTTCCATTGACTCACTCCAGATCTGAGAGGAGACCCATCAGCGGACGTGAGGGACTGCCGCGGCGCGGCGCTGTGGCACGGCATGAGGAGGGAGAACCTGGGCGCGGACGTTGCGGCGTGGGAACTTGCGCGACGCGGAGCAGGTGATCTGGACAAGGGCGTCGCGGCGCGAGGTGATGGCACGACGTGAAGCAGGTGGGCGCCGCGGCGTGACGTGAGTAAGTAGTTGCTCTGTCCATG